CCTGCTGGAGCGTCGGGAGGCGTCAGGAAGCGAGTGGGTGCAGTGCCTCACCACCGACATGCCCGGCTGCATGCGGGTGCTGGGCAACAGTGTACCTCGTGAGGCTGACTACTGCTTCCGCATCTGCGCTGCCAACGAGCACGGCAGGAGCAGCCCCGTGGAGTTCCCTGGCTCCGTGCATCTAGGTGAGGCTGCCAAGCCAGGGACTCCCACCTGGGAGCTGGCTCTCCCCAGAGGCCAGCCAGGATGTTGTGCCATGGCATGCTGTTGGCCAGTGCTGAGTCTGGCTGTGCTCAGCCCCAGCAGCTTGCCTGGAGAGAGGTCTGCAGGATGTACAGGTGCGGGACGGTGAGGACGCGTGGTTCTCCCTGGAGCTGTCAGCTGCAGTCTATGGCACCTGGTTCCTCAATGGTGCCAGGCTGGGTGAGGAGGAGGAGGCAAACGGCCGGTACAGTGTGCGGTGCCGCGGGATGGAGCACTCACTGCTGATCCAGGGAGTACAGCTAGCTGACAGCGGGGCCCAGGTCACCTTTGTGTCTAGCAGTGTGCAGGACTCGGCCACATTGCATGTGCAAGGTGAGCAGGCCGCGTGCCCCAGGGCCCTGCTGGAAGAAGAGCCCCAGCAAATTTCACACTGGAGAAGAGCCCCAGCAAATCTCATGATGGAGAATGCTTCTCAGCCCTTTACTATATCTCTCAGCCCCACAGGTCTGCATCGCCCCGGTGCCTGAGGCTGAGCGGCTCCGGGAGGTGCCTATGGGGATGCCGGTTCTGCTGGAGTGCCAGGTGTCCCCCTGTGATGCTCCTGTCCACTGGCTGCAGGATGGTGAGGCCATGCTTTTTCAGGCAGAGGGCTGTGTGCGGAGGCTGCTGCTCCGCTCGGCGGGTCCCTCGGACACCGGCATATACACCTGTGATGCTGGGGATGATGCTGTGAGCTTTGTGGTGACAGTGACCGGTGAGCTGGAGACTGCGTGCGGGAGCCTGGACACTACCTCCTGACAGTGCTCCTGCCCTTCGTTTTGCCCCCATGATGGGGCTGAAAGCTGCTGTCAGGTTCCCAATCTGAGCCCTGTGTTATCCCTGGCAGAAGCACCAGTGAGGATAGTCAGCTCCAATGAGGAGGCCCCCCATGCCTACATGACCGGGCCGCGTGTGGAGCTGTGG